AATCAGACAAGGCATGTATAGAGTATTCAATCGTATTTCCTGGTCGGATTGGTTGGTGTAGCCATTCATACTCATGTATAATGGATAGTCGGAAAAAATATGATCTTTGGTTGTCCGATTCGTAAAAATGTCAATAACTTCCTCCAAAATAATTGTATATTGTGATCAGATACAATAACAAATATACAAATAAATCAGTAAACTTTTCAGTAGCTCTATAGCATGGAAAGACATATAACAAATAAATCAATATGATGATTTGTGTTAAACAGAAGGTAAGTACCTTAAAGTTGCTGTTAATTACACAAACCCTGTAATATTTCGTCTTTATGCTGCATTAGCATCACAAAGCAAGATAAATACCAACTTTGGAATTAAAATTAACGCGGCGCGTTAAAATTATATTTTTATACCAGCTAGCTTGCCCGCGTTTCAATCAAGATAGGTTTGAACTTCATGTAACGCAAAGAATTTTAAATGTTAATTAATTACTTGCTTGTTCATCTTTTCCATGTAACTTGATTCAATTTACGTCATTTAGACTTTTATTAATTGCCCGAAGTACACATGGTGTTAAGCCCAAATCCCCGAATAGCTAAGCTTTGGGAGGGGGCTGTGCTTCTGCAATATTTGAAATATAAATTAAACTTTTCTCATGGCGTTTTGCAAAGGTCAGTTGTAAAATTTGAAGATCTTTTCTTTATGCTTATCACGCACATAAAGAGCTAAATAAATTAAATGTTAAACCTACCATCGAGAGTATTATACGTCCCTATCGGATTGAATGGTTTGTACAAGAATGAATTTCGTCGAATAAAAGCATCATTAGAGAAAGCTCATCAACGCTACATAATTATTTGGTAGGTGATAATTTTAAAAATTTCTTGGAATGTTTGAAGCTTATCTAGGCAATTTGCCCCGAATATTGATTTCTGAGTGCTTAGGTTTTCCTGATGAAATCAATTATCAATATCATTGAAATGATACCTCAAATTTTGCCAGTTTACGATGATTGTTTACCGTGTATCACTTGTCTCTTATTGATTGGCTGTAAACAGATGGTTATGAAAGACATGAGTTTACCGTCGATTATCAGTCCTTATACTGAATGGGCATAAGTTACTATGGGCGTGCTTGTGAGAAGGAGTTTCTTCACATTAAGTCAAAAAACATTTTTGATGATCAAACGAGCACTGCTATGACTATATATGCTTTGAAGAATGTGATGTATCACATGATAGAATGTGACGAAATTGTCAACTTTAGTTAGGAAGTAGATATTAAAATCATTTCTGCCATCTTATTTGAGAAATTTAGGTTTCCATCTCTGAATATACAGGTTGTTAATAATAGACCAGTGGGAAAAAATTGTGAAAAAAAGAGGATCTTTGTTGAGTAAAGATCTACAAGAGGAAATATCATCATGCCGTAGCAATTTGTTTCACACGATTTTTTACCCAATTCAATTTATTTACAATTCATTGCAAATAGAAGTAACGTCAGTGACGAAAAAGGATTATTGGCAAGGAATATATTGCAACAAGGAAAAATTGTTTGTTTTGAAGATTTAGGCTCGACTTATATGAAAAATATTTATAATTCGGCGATATTCATCAAGCATAATGTTTTTAGCCTTAATTTTTGGAAACATTTGTTTTTGAGACACGAGGCTATTTTAATGAGATGTTGTTGTTTTTCGCCAGATGAATCGTTTTTGTGTGCCTTTATTAGCACTGCATGGTCTCGTCAACATTGTTATTTGGAACATCAAGCACAGTACCATTGTTCGATACACACCTGCGCAACATCAGATGCTGGTGGTCTGATGGTTTAATGTGGGCGTGGGATGGTTCTCATCATCTTACAAAGATATCAATTGCTTCTGACTTTTCAGTTGATTTCACAAAGAAAAAACAGGTAAACATTAGATCTATACCATGCAAGGAAATTCAAACACTTGCATAGTGACGTGTAGTTTGCATTGACCAAGAAAAAGTCGTTCGATTTGTTAGCACACAACGTACTTACGACGTTGGTTAAAGGTTTTGAGAACGTCAGGTCCGAAGTAACGTTGTCACGACGTTGCTGCAACGTAATTTGGCTAGCTAGGACGAAATTTATTTGGAAGCTTGACACACTGAACAAATACCCATGATGTCTTTAGTTGTTCAAATACCTATGAAGTCCTTCGTTTAACAATTTTTACGACAGTCAACTGTAAGGAAATCCTTCGCAGTATTTGCTTTGCATGTGATAGTAAACAAGCAGTTATTTTATTTTCTACCTTTATACATTCTGATTGGATTTGTGGTAGTTGTGTTGTTGATGTGCATTCAACCGGGAAAGTGAAAGCAATTTTTTCTTCTCACGTCGGAATTTTACGACTACAAAGCCTTACTTGTTTATAAATCGTTCTGCATTGTAAATGTGTGTTGTTCTAGGACTGCAAAAATTTTAATTTTGGGGTTTATAGGAAATTTGCTGAGATCAAAACACACGATGAGGCTACTGAATCTCATATTGCAAAACAGAAACTGTCGTAGTAGCATCAACGGACAGAATTTAATTTTTTAAAGTCAATGTTCCTTAAATAAATATTATCGATCACTTTCTGACCTTGGTGCCTCTTAACTAATAAAAAATATATTGACATTTTCTTAAAAAAAGATGTATCATCCTGAACAGTGAACAAAAATAGGAAATTCCATGTCTTACAAATAGAGAGTATTGGTGGTTTCAACTAGTAAAAGATATCGCATATAAACTTTATTGATGTCATCTAGTTGACCAGTGCAACAATTCTTTGACAGTTTTCAATTTGGTTGGAAATATCATGAAACAGGGGCGGATTCAGTTTTTAGCGTGACTGATGCATTGTGAGCGCCGGAAGCGCGACCTACCTAGTGGGTTCTGGGGGTATGCTACCCCTGAATATTTTTAACTTTAACTTTAGCTTTTAAGCTTGAAAACGCGATTTCCTGGGTTTTGACAAGAATTTTTCCCAAAACATCTGGCTCCAATTAGACAGAATGACAGAAACGGGAACTGTGATTAAGCTTAGACCGTGTCCAAGTCCAAATCCATGAAAAACTTTCCATATAAGAAACTTTGGTGAGAATACGATCCTAATTGGCTGATGTCCAGTTGAATGTCAAGATTAAGTGTTTTACAAATGATAAAAAACCTTCACGCTTAACATAATTTTCTAAAAACACTATTGTGAATGCACATTTGATAAACACGACGATATTTTTTTAGTATAGACATGTTTCAACATCTTATTATTAGCTTCAACGATTAACACAAGTTTCTTTGAATATGGGAATTCAATTTCTTTGAACGAACTTTATCTTCTGTTTGCATTGCATGTTGGAATGAAACTCAAGATTATGAAGTGGGGGACTCTCCAGAGTATAACGTACAATGCTAACTTGTGTCTTGTGACGATCGTATATATGTCCATAAACATCTTATTGAGGATTTTTTAGACCATCGTGCTTTCTGTTATACCATTAGAAGCAAGAGCTCTAATTTGGGGAAGGGGGAAGAGTAAATATTTCATACATTCAACTCTGCCCGACTTCATGACTTCTTTTAAAATTAAATCGCTTTCAACAAAAATATGTTAGGAAGAGCTGAAAAAATGAATAATTACCCCTCTATGTATTTCCAGCTGAATATGAATGTTAGAAACTATTACTGAAAATATGCTTGAAATATGCTTTGTTAACTATTCCAGTAATATATTTGTATGTATCCAATATTTTCCATATTAATATAATACTTTGTTTGATGGTAACTTTTTAAATCTTACGTATAAATTTAAAGTTTACTGATGCCAGACATTGTGTAAAATTGAAACTATGTTGTTTCAAACAAGGACGTCGTGAATTGCCTCGAGTACCTTACTGCGTATGGAGGGTATGATGGACCAAGCTTACTATTGACATATCCACGTAGGATGGCGTAGCAGGAGTCGAACTGTCCAACCAAAACGTCAGCATGCGACGCTCCATAGTGCCCTTTTTGTCCTAGGGTGTCGGGAGGCACGGACAAAAACAGAACTTTTTGCTTTCTAAATTTGTCTTTTTGTTTGCAAGGGTTCTTCCCATATAACAAACTGTAACATCCAATAATATTCATGGCAAACTATCTCTCGAAATGATTAATTGAGTCAAAACTGCAAAAGTTGGACTGGAAAATATAAACAGAGCTTCAGGAAATTTTCTATGAAGCCGTTTACATAAACGTAAATGATATTTGTGTTTTGCCTCGTTTGACGAAGAGATGTGCTATCCGATTTTTTTGACGCGCTTGTCGAGGAGTTAGACGTTGAAGAACCCAGATTTTCAATATAGATGAGATGTAGAAGGCAAGTGAAGGCAAATGAGCATAATAATTCAATCAATTCATAAATACAACATAGTCTTTAGTCATTTCAGCAACAAAACAAATTAATATAATTAATTTGTGCATTAGTTTTCTTTTTTCTTCACACCTCACACCTTGTACTTCCAATTAAGAACTGTGAACATTGCATGTGGTGTTTTCAAAGCACGGTGTTTAGAAAAGGCATGAAAAAATGCAAGGGTAGAAATACATTTGCAGGCAGATCCATTTTGAGAGTAAGGAGAGAGCTCGGCATAGAACGCAGATAATGAAATATAATACAAAAGGGGTGTTTATGATGCTACATAGGACAGTCTAAGTGACATAGCTGTGAATGCTCATATCATATGCCAGGCACGAAGAACCAATAAATGACGTTTTGCATATGACGTCACACCCGTGTATCGGAAACTGAAAAGACAAAGGTTGAATATAATTCACTTTTTCTGTATTGGGTGCACTCAATTAGCAGAGCAGGACTAATGAAGCAGGCTTTGAAATACGCCATAGGCTTTTTTTACTAGTGTTGCGAATATATTTTATATGTGGTAACTTTTCAATTGGAATACCCCCGATATTCCAACATCAATAAAATCAATAAAATCTTCACGAGTACGCTGAATGTATGGTCAGCGGAAAATGCTTGAATACAGCTTTTGCTCCTTGGGTGGACTTTAGACACGTGCAGAGTCGAAGTGAAATATTTTATTGATTTTTATCACTTTCATTTGATCAACTGCTAACTGCGAAGAATATAAATGGTGCGACCTAGTAAGTTTGTCATTGCAAAAGTATCGTCGAGTCCATGCGCTTTGTTTTTGTGTTAAAATTTCGATATCAACACACCGACTTTGTGTTGCCAAATGTTTCAAAAATTAATTCAACAGTTCAACGTGCAGCTTTCATATTCCAGAAAAACAAAGCAAGAGAATGACTACGAAGAAGAGGAAGAAGATTGAAAAGAAGGTATACATTTGAGTGACTTCAACCATCTTTTATGTCAATTTATTTTTATAATATACGAACTGTGACTGTTCTTGTTTGCTGTTCAACAAACAACAATCACTATTTTATTACTTTCCCTAACTTAAACTCGCAACCCTTACGAATCCGATGTTTTTTATGACTTTAGTCAACTCGTGTTGAACATATTTTTATTAAGTTCTACTTGTTGGATTGCTGAAGAATGTTAATTAGATTAGCTGAAGAAGCAAAGATTTGTGATTGAAACATTATTTGACTGAAAAATCTGCAGTTGTTAACATTCTCCCTCATGCCAGTTCAGTAGAGAAAAGATATTAAATTGTTTATTTGGTTACTGCGTGCTTATTTTTTAGGTTAGGGAACACAATCAGAAACAGAGAAAGGAGAACAATTTGAATCGAAACAAAAAAAGTAAGTTGAAAAGTTTGGCCAGCATTTTGCAAATCATACCTTATAAGTTAGCTTCCGAGCTCATGATTCTGCAATTATTTTTGAAAGAAAGGATGTTATTTGTCAATATAAATATTAGAGCCCAACAAATAATTTTGAACATAGTCATAAACAATTAGGTTTTATGAAATTTATTAAAATAGTGATGTTTCGTCTTGACTCAAGACATCTTCAGACTAATAAGGACGTTGTGAGGGTACATACCCCCACATGAATCTCTTCATCTTTTCCCATCAAGGATAAAATTCCCAAGTCTCTGAGATAAATTTAAACAAATTTGTTGATTTTTCCTCTTACTTGTATTGATGATTGATTTGCAAATTCTTAGCATGTAAGTGATGTAATTGATTGAGCTCAGATCAGTTTTCCACATTTGCACAGGTGAATGCAAATTTTGCTGTAGACATATCAGGGCAGGCATTGTAAATTTGTTGCTTTATAATGGCCAGATGAAAGATATATTCTCCATATTTTTCTCGTTGCATTGTGCACTATTATTGTACGTATGTAACATCACTATTATGTAACAAATTTTTTTTAAGATATTGACTATGAATGCATGAGATGAATACATAGCTTCTTAAATCAACCATGAAATATTTTTTTATGATCCCAATTAAAGAAAATTTGGGTACATCAACTCTCACTTTGTCATGTGTAACTTTACTCACAAGTGTTCGTGTAGGTAGACATGTTTGTGTAGGTAGACATGTTTGTGTAGGTAGACATGTTTGTGTAGGTAAAGTTTGCTAAAACTACTTGCAAATTCATCATTTAATGCCATCAGAAACAAAATCTGTCTTCTTCTCCTTACTACATCAATTGAATTTTATCTGAACTTGAACTGTACCTTGGGATACTTGTGTGCTGCTCTACCTGTTGAGCTACCAAGTCCTCAGGGATTGAAGACAAGTCGAAGCTCTTATAAACTGCACGTGAATGGGATATTTTCACCATGATAACAGTCTCTTAAAGACATCATATTTCGACTTTTTCCAAAGCCATCAAATAATTAGAACATAAATTCTGATGTCAGAATTCATTTTGTCAGAATTTATATTTTTCTCTTTCATTGTCTCTTTGGATTAGGACAATGGCAGACACTTTGTAAAATATTGGGGGACTTGTCCTCAAGGCATGACATTTAGGAAGAGATCCCGGGGCATACCTATAGGTAATCTTATGAAACTTGATCTTCAGAAACTTAATATAAGGATTCCTACACATAATCTTACACAGAAAAGGTTTAATGCATCTACTGGTATGTGTACATTACAGAAGTCTTTTCAAATAGTCATTTAACATCACAGTTATGTTATGTGGGTGTGATTTAAGGCTTTCTTGCTAGATTTTTAATCTTTTAAAATTGTTGGAGGGGGGAACACAAGCCGTCCTTGCCCTCCTTATGTTTGCAATTGGTTTTGGAGTAAAGATGAATTTTGTGTTATTAAAGCCTGCATACATTTTGTTCTCTATTGTGCTCATTATCACAACATGAAATGTGGAAAATTTTTCAAACTTTTGATCAATTCATCATTAACAAGACAGAAGGAAAAGACATTGTGGGGATTGGAAAAGAGCTGGTCCAGAAATTCTAATACTAACTTACTAATCCAGATACATTTTATTTAATTTCATTCCGAATACATATGTAGTTAAGACTCATAATTTTGTGTTGATAAATGAACTAATTTTCTATTTCACAGTTATGATTTTCCTGCAATAGTGTATTTTATGAGTTTTTGTGAATGAACATTTATTGAAAAATAGTCATAAGATTATTTTTTGAGCTTGAGTCTTTTAAAGGATGTCACAGGCTATTTTTAATGGAATGTATCACAAAATCCCTTCAAATTGTATTGTTTTTTCACTGATATGTTACATTTATGGTTTGTGTTCAGGAAGCAAGAAAGATCCCGGTGTTCCCAATTTATGCCCCTTTAAACACAAGATTTTGGAAGAAGTGGAAAGAAGGAAACTAGCGGTATTGAAATTGAGTAACTTGTTATGGGCAAAATTTACTTACATAACAGGACAGTCCCTTCTTAAGAAAGTTAGTTATTGTATAGTTGGTAATGATTACACCAGTATAAGTTTTTTCTCATTTGTTCACAAAGTCAGTAATGTGCATATGTAATTGGTTTATGCCTTACTTCTATGATTCCTCAACTTAAACCTACATGCTCAAAGCTCTATTTATAGACATACAATGAATGGATGTGCACCATCTCCAGCCTTGTCTAGAATCACATAAAAATACCCTCAAATGAGTCACTGAAATGAAATCCAAGCTAAGCTGACTGACTGACATCTCATAAGAACTCGAACATGCCCCCTTTGCAAAATCATTTAGAATCACGTCGTCAAAAACCGATGATCTGTACAGAAAATTTCTCTTGAGTTTTCATGTTAATTTGAGGAAAAGACTCTGTTTTTCCTGTGCTTTGCTTGTAAACCTATGAATATTGCTTTGTTTTTGCAGCAAGAAGTGGAAAAACAAAAGCGAAAACAGAAGAGAGAGAAGGAGGTGAACAAGAAACGAAATTTACAAACTCTACAAGAATATGCTGCGAAACGAAGCAAAGAATTTGAACGCAAGGTGTGAAATGATTATTGCTACGATACTACGTGCGTATCAGTCGAAAATTATATCATTCTCATCCGTCGTCATTATTTTAATTCTTCTGAAAATTTTGGTGATTTAGCCAGGTGCTGTTCTCACCTTTGCTTTTCAATTGAAATTTAAAAGAATTTTGCTGCGTCATTAAGAATCTCGCTGGTGTATAGTTTTCGTTTAGTTTTGAAAATGTCATGGATGTCACCCCCAAAGTTTGATTACACTTGTATTTTGGCCACTGAGTGAAACATTTATTTATACTAAAGATTAAAGATGCATTATTAAACATTTTAAACCAGTTTTTATTCAATACACATTATGGACATCAGTCATGTGCTCGGAGACAGGGCTGTTGGATGTTAAGGGGGGGAGGGGGGATTCTTGTGAATATTCAGATGCATTCAGTTGAGTCTGAATGATGATTTCTTTCAAAGTTAATTTTCTTTCAAAAGAAACCAATCTGGCATAACTATTCCCCTCCCAACTAAATTAACTTTTTAATGACGGCCCTGTGAGGATAGAAGGAGAGAGCGAGTTGACTCATCAATTCATTTGTTGATTGTCATTGTCAAAAGTTTAAGCTTTGTTTTATTTGGGCAATTTGAAAAATCTTCTCGCATTTTATGTTCACCAGAAAATTATTTCATAGAAATATCATACTAAATAAAAGCCACGAAGTTTTATGCTTGAACGTTTAGATGGCTCATAAGAAGATCAATGAAGATTTTTCTGAAAGTGATTCTGCTCCAGTCGGTATGGAATTGTAACATGTTATATATTTGCATCTACAAATGAAAAAGTACATAATTTCTTGTTCGCTTTTTCGTCATTTACAGAGACATCCAGGAAAGCCTATTACAAAGAGTTCAAAAAGGTATGAAGCTGCTTACGTACCCATTGCTGTAAGGATTTTTAACAAAGTCCAGGTTTTAAAATGTAACCGAGTCAAAAAGCGTCAGCATCAACTACAGTAGAACGGCGATAAGTTGAAATCCTGCAAACTTGAGATAAATTCTCCGAGTTGATAGTACATTATATAGGGTTTATTTCCTCGAATTCCTAGCCAACTTGAACAAATTTGATTTTCCTCGATTCCCTCGGTCAAATTTCCCTGGATAACGGGAAATCCTAATCTAATCTCAAAACGCTTAACGATTAATCTCGCTGATTTTAATCTATATAAGTGCTGATTACATAAGCCCGGTTGCCGGAATTCAGCCAAGCGTTAAATGATTTTGGCAAATGAAAATGATTCAATACTTACGTACCGTGAGATAAGTCATCTCAAGCAATTTCACAATATTCTGATATAACAACTTCCCAAAACATTTAAAATGGAAACAACCAATTTGCTCTAATTTGAGAATTACAACAAGAGTGACGTGTGGTGCTTTGCAAAAAGTTGTAATTTTTAACCGTGAAGTTTTGGCTCCTTTCGATCTCTTGAAATCATCGGGCTATCTCGCTATCCGGGCCAGCTCGTCTATATATATTCAGGTTCTAAGATGAAAATGTAAATTAATCCATTTATACATGAGTGGTTCATAATGAACAATTTGCCTCGATATCATTACAATAATGATATTACTAATTTACCCTGTGCAGTTATTATAGGAATGATTTGATCACACTTTAACTACATGTACGTATATCGCATTGTTGTAGATCAAAATTTTAAATGAACAGTGAAACTACTATAGCTACGCAAAGTATTGACCCAACACGCCAAGTTTATCAGCGCCCTTGTTTACTTGAACCCCAACTTACTCTAACAATTTTCCGTTCCCTTTAGAAATAGTTCAGCGAAAAAAATTGCTCTACATTTTTATCATATCGCTTTCTTTTTAACACTGTGTCTTGTATGTATGCGGTGCCTTAAAGTTATCCTATAATGTAGCTTGAAAACTACGAATCCATGTTTATAGTTACCGAATAAGAATTACCTTCCTGAGGGTAAAATGTAATTTTTGGGACTTTTGTAGAAAAAAGTTAAATTCTCTAGCATGGCACATGCGTAATAAGAACATTTTAAACTGTTCTCTACCATGAAGTATCGTTGTACTCTTTGAAAGTAGTGGCTTCTGTTGTCGTTGTTGTCATTGTTGTTGTTATTGTTGTTGACTTCAACACTGCGTAGCTACCAATTCAAATATCAAAGCAAATCAAGTACAATGATATTAGAAGCTTGCGCTTTTCTTCTTGACAGCAATTTTTTTGTTTTGTAACCCCCGTCATCTAGTATCCGTCCCTGAATGTGTTGGAAAATAGTTTACAGGCAAGCTTTTAGCAAGGCAGCCCTCCAACCGTCTTATGCACAGCCACTTCTGAATGTGGACGTCCATAATTTCATTTTGTCAAAAGTTTGCTTAACTTACGATTTATGTTTTAATATGCATTGCCGTCAAAAACGCGCTAATATTCTTGTTGAAATAAAACCAACCCAATCCACAAAATGTCTTGGACGACTGCTTTTTTAAATCCTCGATAAAACTCTCTTTAATTGGAATCAACAGTATCCTTAAACGTAACCAACCATCTACCCATTCATCAGAGGTATCACCAAGTTATCCAAAAAGCATTAAAATCATTTGAGTAATTTATACCTGTTTGCCGGTTCGTGTAGGTTGTTCAAAATTCAGATGTTGTCCTGGAAGTGCTTGATGCAAGAGACCCATTAGGCTGCCGATGTTTTAAGGTATGTAAATTCATGGCAGTGAATGATTGCTTATTTCCTATCCGGCTTTAACTGATTGAGAATTTTTTTTTAATTCGTCCCGAGCTCTGTTATCAAATTCTCTGAAAGAGATATTTGATTTTCACAACAGAATATTTTGCAGGTCGAAGAGGCGGTTTTGTCTGCAGGCAGCAACAAAAAAGTTGTTCTCGTCTTGAATAAAATCGGTAAGTGCGTAACTTTGACGATCCCCCTCCTGCATTTTAATGAAAATGGCAATCATGCTATGATGATTTTACGTTTGTTGTATTAGTCTTCTACTCTAGGTTACAAGTATATAAGTTTTCTTTGAGGCGTTGAGCAATTCTTTTTGCTATCGAGACCAGGGGTAGGTGCGCAACCCTATCTAAGTTGTCTAGCACCCCAAGAAACATTCCAAAATGGTATTTTGTACTGTGGACTACGTATTATGATAATAGTATTTGAGGCTATAAAATTTTACTATAGGACTAAGTAAAGATAGAACTTATAATTTCAAAGGCAGTTAAATATTTTACACTACCACCATTTGCACTTGTTTACTACGATGCGTGTTTTCATGGAAACCCTAAAATTTTAATAAATTACTTAACATGAAGCAACCTGTTACTTTGTCATGTCAACTCCGTTTGGCCTTAATTTTCTTGCCCCTTGTTTGTCATGTGCGAAAGCAACTGTTTTATTCGTGTTTCACTCGTCGTTGGGAATATTTGGATGCATGATATATGAAGCTTTCTTAATCATTGAAGAAAGTACTGTGAGACTAGGATATATAATTTACTTAACTTTTTAAGTAAATATTGAAAAGCCAATCTCCTTCCGTGAAATGAGCATCATCGATTCGCCCCTAATTACGACTTACAAATAGTACGTAATGGTTGTACCCTAACATTTGTAAGCCTTCCCTTTCTGTCACATCTTTATAACTTAAATAGACACATGAATAACGTTAATGACCTTTAAAGTATTGCTTTCGAAAATGTCTCACGAGTTGGGAATAGTTTCAACGATTGATAATTTTATCGACATTGATAATGTTTTTTGTATTTAGATCTTGTGCCAACCTCGATTGTTGAGAAATGGTTGAAGCACCTACGAAACGAGTTCCCTACAATTGCCTTCAAAGCATCGACACAAACACAAAAGCAACATTTGGTAGGCGAAAGAAATGGCTCTTAGTGCACGGCTTTTAGCAAAAATGTATACGTAGGGTATTAACGCCATCGAGTTTAGGCTCTTTGCATAGTTGCGAAGAAGGCGTCTTTACCTTGAGGAAGTTCTTTGATGTTGTGCTTATGTTATAAATCTGTCAGCTTGCGTACTTTTTTGTACTTTTGCAATGGATCATTTGCATGTGGATCATCTGATGTTTTTTGACTTTATTTGCCCTCTTTGTTAAAATTGTTCACATCAATTTATATGGAATATTTTTTCACGAGGAACGACTAGCTAATAGCTACATCACTGGGGGACGCTGTACGAGAAAAATTTGGAATTGTTTTATGTGGGTCTTAAATTTCAAGGTTTATGGTGGAAAAACGCCTCTGCGAAACTGTTCTCAAGACCATGGTGGAAGTACCTTAACCTGCACTCGACAGTTTCGTTAAAACTTACCATTTTTAAATTCTTCAGGCTCAAAGTAAAGTACCAACATCGCTTGCCTCAAAAGGCTTACTTTCGACCAGTCAATGCATGGGAGCTGGCACTCTTATGAAACTATTGGGAAATTACTGTCGAAATAAGAATATCAAAACAGCGATAACTGTTGGTGTTGTAGGTATGTGAATGACATGTGCATTGCGAGAAGACGATGAGGTTTATCGATGTGTATATTTTATTTTAGGATTTCCGAATGTGGGTAAGAGCAGGTACGTAATGTGAGAATATATTGTATTGATACATTTCATTTTAAGTATTATGTTTAGCTACGTGAACTTGGCGATTCTTTAATTCATATTTTTTATCCATTTGATTATAGTTTAATAAACAGCTTAAAAAGATCGAGATCGTGCACTGTTGGTGCCACGCCAGGTGTCACAAAGTATGTTTGCATTTTATTTTTGTGTAATTTGTTTGAGAATGCAGCAGCCGTATATGCTGTTTTCTTGGCGTCTTTGATAGAAATAGTGCGTTGAATAAGCAATTGAAGAGCAATATCATCAAGGGGGTAGGGTGGGTGGATTGTGAGGACGTGTTCGCGTTATGCACCCTAATAAATAACAATTATTGGATGAGGTTGTGCATGATATAAAATGATTTTTCAAACGAAGGTCGATGTTCGATATCATACGAAAGCCGAATTCATTAATAGTTTTATCACCGTAACTGCGTAAAAGCACTGTTTATAAAGCGCATTTAATGAATACAAGTTTTTTTCAAATAAACATATTTCAACATCTCATGATGCCATCTTCAGTATATAAGAAAGAGTATTATGTATGTGATAAATATATATAAGAGTAATTTGATACAATGATACAGTTTATACAATTTTGAGTAGATAACAATGAAATAGTGGTTAGAATTAATGATCAGATTTTAAAATCATTGATACTGCAGATACCACATTTGCACTCAAAATCAAAGAAGCACTTCACATTAACAAAACTAACACTAACCCTAATCTCAACGTTCAAGTTTTTCGTTTTAGCGCTATATTCAGCCTGTTAATACAATCATCTGATATACGTAGATTAATACGGATCTTGTATACGGGTCATTTATTACGTCATATTATAATTCAAACACCGTTTTTATTTCTTTTCAATTCCAGAAACATGCAAGAGGTTCAACTGGATAAACATGTAAAGCTGCTTGACAGTCCTGGTATTGTCATGGATTCTGGAACCTCCGATAGTTCAATCATTTTAAGAAACTGCGTTAAGGTGCGTATCATTTTCATGTTTTTATTGTTACCAATAAGATTATTATGGCCCTAGTGGTTAGAGCACAGAATAGAAAATATACAGTAGGTCCACTTCGTGTGCTTACTGGCTGCTGTATATTTAATTAGATTACTGGCTGTTGTTAGCCATTTCATCGTTCCTATTGGTCAAAAAAAGCATTTGACTGGCTGCCACTAAGGTAATCACATGCGTTATAAGATATCCGTGGCACGAAAAAATTAATTGGAATGGCTCTACTATATTGTAGTTAGGTTTAGGTAAGCGTTTGGTGGTAAAATAGCAAAATGCATGATATACGAAAAAATGAGTATAGTTTGCTTCAGGCACGCCATGCATGTTTTTCATGTGTCAAAACTTGTCGAAATTGAGTTTCTGATTCTTACGGCTTTCTTTTAAAGTTCTGATGAAGGCTCTCTCTTTTCAATAAGGGAAGTTTTTCTTAGTATGTACGTAACTATACTTTTTGGTGGGTTTTGATAAATTTTCGATATATTAATATTTTGGTAGATTAGTATGTAAAAAAATCTGGAAAATATTTAAGTTAGCAAATTTATCCACACCAATCCCATCGCCCATCACTTGTTTTTCTAGAGTTCACTAATTCTGTGAAACGTACATGTGATATTTTTTCGATACTTTTTCTCTTTTTGGTAATGATTGAATATTGAAATAGATATTTTTGAATTTGCAATATTTTATGACTCTATTCAATATACAGTAGCGGCATATATTTAATCGTATTTTATATGTGCGGTCCTTATCCTCAATTTTTAAGAGAAATGACTGATCCCAACTCCTATTCACTATTACTTTATATTTTTAGATTGAATCTCTTCATGATCTTATTAGTCCTGTTGAAACGATTTTAAAGCGATGCGAAAAAAAGCAGGTACGTATTTTTTTATACTGCGTTTGCATCAATGATAGTGCAGCCATCTATTAGTGGTTGCTCATCATTTCGTAAGTTTGTATGCATTCGGAGCAGTTTTGACAGCCCGTATTTGCCTTAATCTTGAGCAATTCTTGGTCGTACATATTTTAAATGTGAGCGATGATGTGCATTGCTATAAAAATCTATATTAAAGATTTTAACGATTTTTTATTGTTAAATAGGCCGTGTGTTTTGTAGTGAGTTACGTATGAACCTTAGCTGACGTATGACCTATTCGTGCAGTTAAAAAATTCTTTGATAATCCCTCCTTTCTTTTAAATTCGAATATTTTGTTCTGTTAATTTAATGCAACAGCTATAGGTGGTGTGCAACCATTTTCTTCGGAGTGACAGAACAATGGAATGTTCGCCATGCTGGATGACATTGCATTGTACGTAAATAAGGAAAATTCTTTGTTAAAATCATCCAACATGGCGGCTATGACGTAGCTTGCACACCAAGAATATTTTAAAGAATACGTTCCTTGCCATCGTGCATGACCGTAACTTTTTTAAGGTCATGGAAAAATATCGTATTCCAGACTACGAAGATACCAATCAATTTCTCTGTGAACTCGCGAAGAAAATGGGTAAATTAAAAAAAGGTTAGTTTCTCTTTACATAAAGTTCAAGCCAACTGCTATTGTCGAGAACAACATGACGGCCTAATTACAATATATATATCCTAAAGCGGAAGCATGTGATATGCGAACAATGACCTTGAACCCAATCTACTAGATATCTGACTCAAGCAAACTTCTTTATTATTTGCTATGTAAGCAATGTCGGCTGTGATTGGTCAACTACCTGCAGATAATTCTCGATATCTGAAAGTATGACGTCATATCTACAAATAATAGTTTCTACAATTATGGACGCCATTAAAAGCCGATATCTAAATGAGACGAAGTTGAATAAACCGTCTGACATCAACAAGTTAGTGAAGAGTAGAAAAATTTTTTATATTGATATGTTTTCACAATACTTCAGTTAGTTAAAGTGAATAATAAAAAAATTATTGAATTCGTTTTTCGCAAATATCAAGGTTTCTTCAAACCTCGGTCAATGTTATGCGCCTCAGCTTCGCGTAGTCAAACAACGTTGACCTCGATTCTTGATATCATACTCAATCTCATCCAATAATTGCTTAATAGTTACGAGTGGGACAAGCCGCCTTCTTGAAAGGTGGCGAAATTGACGGTATTAACGACCAATATCTACTTTTTGTAAGTTGATAATCTCAACATGGCAATAGAAATTGCCATTACTTTGGCAACTTCCGCACTACTTATGACGTCAAGTAAGCAAACATGGCCGCCCAAAAAATTTGCACGCGCAAGGACGACTTTTGCAACTTACTTTTAACGTAAAATGGGCATAAATACATCAAATTGCTTGAAAACATCTGAATTCCAAAAAAAATCCATGCAAATTTAACTTTAAGAGTTGTGAATACGCTTCTTCGATTTTGTTATGCAAATTTCGTAACAAACGCATTAAAGACTTCTGCATTTGATCTGGTGGAAAAGCGTCATCTAATGCCCCTTGTACACTGATAAAATGTATTTTCTTTTGCAAACTTGTGAAATACTTTTTTTCCACCAGGTGGCGTTCCGGATGTGAACGCTGCTGCTAAAGCAGTACTTGGTGACTGGAACAGGTAACGGATCGCTCTCAATTAAGACACTAGATGGAGTAGATGAATACCTATAATTACTGGCATCAATATGTAGTTGTTGGAGCAACTGTTGTGTTCCGTATAAAAGTTGAAAATTTCGAAGAAAATTACAGTAGAATATATTAGACTAAAATGCACTGAAACCCTGTTTTAAGGACATGCATTTTTACATCAAATGTACTTTAATGTCGTCACCACAATGATGGAGCTTATTTAAGAAACAAAAAAAGCTTACTGTGTTTTTGCACAGGCTTGTGCGAACCGAGGAAATTTTTACGAGAACTCGAGAGCAGATCAGTGTAAGCTCGAGACTATTGGTCGAAAGTTGCACCTGCTCGAAAGTCCTCGCGCACGTCTCTGAGGTTTTCATAAGCCAGTGCAAATACGAAAAACATCTTTTATATCTTTTAATAAATTAACAATAATGAGAAACAGATAAATTCAAAACCAACGTTTTAATTTTTCCTCATATATTCATGATTGTATTAAAATTCTCGTTGATTGATTCAATTGATTTAGCTCAGATTTAGCTTCAAATGCCTAAACTTCATTAATTAATTTTTATTCAGTGGGAAAATCGTATTTTACACTCATCCACCTGATCAACATCATTTACCTGCACATGTATCAGCTGAAATTGTTCAGAGATGGGGAACTGAGTTCGATTTGGTAATTGGAATTGCGCTTTTTGTTTTGATCTCTATTTGGAAGTTGTCATTTTTTAAATAATATTTTTTCTTTTTCAGATAAGTTTAGAGAAAGAAGAAAGCGATGAAATGAGAAGTACAAATATTTATTTTTTGACTTGTCTCTATTTAACTTGTCTTTATTGTATTTTAGTACTTTTTTTGCTAATTGTTTGATTGTTTACAAGCTTTGACATATGAATCTTCATATACTGGGTGTATCAAAAAAAGCTGAACAGTTTGGGAAACGTCGCTAAGGTCATCAGCGCGCAAGCCTTTGTAGGGAAGAGTTAGTTAGAGTTCCAATTGTTAATCTTCACAGTAAAATGTTTGAAAGTAATAACCTATTTTAGGCCTGTTTCAAACGTCGAACTTTACATGCGCCGAACGCATTAAAGACAAGGAAAATGAGATAAACTTTCTCATTATTTTTGTTTTAAATGCATTCAGCGCATGTAAAGTTTTACGTATGAACTAGACCTTAGAGTTAAAATTGTGTTACCGAGAAGCACTTTTGAAAAAGTATGCGCACGAAAATGAAGTAGCTAAAAAGTAATTGGAACACATAACGTTAAAATATGACACATGTTGTACAAGCCTACTGACTTACGGGAAAATTTGGCCAAGCATCAACCAACGGCAAGCATCCAAATCGCGTTTTTCCCTTTTTTAATGCCTTTTTCTTAAAGTGCGTCTAGCACAATTTTTTTTCGAGCGATGTCAAACAGATTCATAATTTCTAGAATCTTCGCGAAAACAGAATTTAATATTAAACAGTATTTAAGTTTTTGTGGCAGTTTAATGATGGCAAAATAGCCCTTTCGGCTATCTCACTTCCGTGAGAATAATATACTTGTAGGGAAATGAAACGAGTGTTTTATGTGACGTCACGCAAGGAACTCGCGCATTTGTGCTCTACAAATCATATAAAATAAACATACAAAGCGTCTTCAATATTACTTAGTAAAAAAGATGGTTTTTAGTTGCGTAGCTGCTAATTGTACAGATAAGGCCAGTCTTAACGATGGCATTAGCCTTCACACTTTTCCCTTTTGTAACGATGACCAGCCTGAAGCCAAAAAGCGAAGAAAAATTTGGGTCGATTTTGTCAAGTAAAAACGGGTATTCGAGCCTTCACTTTGCTCTGATCATTTCCAACTCGAAGATTTCGAGAAGATTTTTCATTTTGCCTGGCCAAATCAAACCGAATTATCAAAATGAAAGAGCGGCATAAGCGCCCACATTCGAATCATCAGTATCGTCATGATGAACATTGCCATCGTTATTTATTCCCGCGTCTTCGATAATAACATACCCCGGAATAAAATTTTATGCGAGTCATCAGACTCATAACTATCACTTGTTGATTCACTGCTAGAGATAATTATCGAGCAATATATAAATGCTACAGTGTCTAAATCGGTCGGAATTACGACAAAGTCTCAACATGTATGTAACATATGAAAGCATCAGAGCAAAATGCCGATTACCTTGCGTAACGTCGAAACAAACGGTAGATCCAGACCCTTAATTGTCACGGAACTGAGCCATAAAAAGCTAAATTTGCCACGCCATAAAAAATAGACGTTTTATCTAAATTAATTAATTTTTTTTACTAAAACATTCTCAATAAACAGAATAATCGATTGGACAAATATAAAAATTGTGTTAGAGGCACTTTAAAAGTTTCATCAATTATTCATATTTGGATTAATTTAAGCTCAAAATAATCCGCTATTTGAAAGCTTAGCGTTCGCCTGTCTACACATAAGCCAAAATTCCAAATCTTTGTTGGCTTGAACAACATGTGCTCTGTTTTAATCCTATGTGATCCGATTGCTTTTAGCTTTGTCATTTTCGTGCACAAGCTATTTCAAAAGTGCTTCTTAAGAATATAATTCTCACTCTAAAAATGGTTATTATTCGCTAGTATTTTACTGTTAGATAACCATTGGAACATATTCCAACTATCTATTCCACCTAAGGTTTTTGCAGATCTTGCCGCCTATATAACTTTAAACGTTTTCGTATCTGTTCAGTTTTTTATACACCCCAGTTAAAGGCAAATTTTTTGATTCACCACATCTCTATTTATACACCAACCTCATTTTAACCCACCCCCCCTCCTCCCCCACTGATAATCCCCCACTTCTGTAGCAGCGAAAATAAAATAAACCTCCACCATCTATATATTCCTGACACTGAGTAAATAAAAAATCACCCGTCAATCTCACAAAGTCAATTTCACGAAATCATAATAAAAAAGCGAATGCTATTGAAGCTCTATTCATTGATATACGCGTTTGATTCATTTGAAATTTTCTAACGTAAAAATCAAAATAGTAACTTGCGTTGTTTCAAAATTTCAGACAAAATTACACTCATGTTTTTAAGATTTTCTTTTTTTGAAAAAGCACTTATGCGTGTACAGTATTGGGTATATTAAAAAAGTAGAAATTGATATTGAAACATGTGTTGAGTGAATTATGTAGTGGCAATTTTGCGGGAAATTTATGTTTAGGCCGTTTTAGCTCCTCCTAATTTCCCTCTTGACGCGATCTGTTTTTCTTTCGTTTGTCGTGTAGATATGAAAGAACTCACACGTACCATTCAGGACGCTTTAATACTGACATCAAGCGAGGCATCTTCATTTACACTCGATGAAGAAATGGTATGAAAAAATTTTAGTTAATTTTTACCAGGATGTGTTTATTAGTCAAAATACACTCTAGCCTCTAATTTTGAATTTAAGATACCTGTACAACAATGTCATTCGTTATGAATTTCCAAAGTGCGATTGAGTAGGAAGTTTACATAGATACAAGATGATGATGATGATATATTTATATATTACCGTAATTGCGTAAAATCACTATTGATAATGCGCATTTAATAAAATCGACAAGTTTTTTTAAAATGAACATGTTTCATCGTTTCATGATGCCATCTGCAGTATAATGAGTATTATGTATGTGATGAATATATATAAGGGTAATATGATACTGTGATACAATTTATACAATTATGAATAGATTATTATATGCGCATTTAATATGTGTCGAGTTTTTTAAAATAGACATGTTTCGACATCTCATGATGCCATCTTCAGTATAAGTGAAATAATAAATAATAGTAGGTTTATATAATTAATAATTAATGGACTCCGTCGATTTCGACATATGAGGGTTCCACGAAGTGGAACATCCTGGTTACTTAAATTATAGTGAAGGCAGCTGACCAGACTACAATCACTCGTACCTTTCACGCAACTACAACGCTGATATCAGCGTGACACATTTGTGACAAGGCTGCAACATTGCAGATGCAGATACAGTCCATCCGAGGACATAGTTTCCTCTACCAAATTTCCCTCACATGGCTTTGGTCAACCCGGGCTAGGTTTTACAGACACATTGCCAGATGTGCCACGAGCCGGGATTGAACCCGCGCCGTCTGGCTTGCAACTCACGCAATTAACCATTCAGCCACCCGCCCCGTCCCTAGGTTTATATAAAAGTAGTAGGTTTATATAAAAGTAATATGATACATTAATTACAACAATAATAAGGAAATAAGATAAGAGCGTCCGAGCGTATTGTAAACTAAATATTGTATTGAATTTAAAAACTTGAACATTGAGGTCAGGGTTAGTTTTCTTAATGTGGAGTGGTTCTTTGATTTTAAGGGAGAATGATGTGTCAGCTTTGTCGATGATTTTGAAGAAGAGGGTGAATACTTCGTTTTACATGAATGAGATTTAAGGTGTCGGTAGATATGAGAGTTTTTGTCTGTTGTGGTATGTTCCCTGATTCTGGTGGATAAATGGCGTGAAGTTTCGCCATGTATCGGGAATTACATCCCGCATAATTGAATTCATATACCTCTATTGATAACAGACCTAACACAACTGTTTTTAACAGCAACAGCACAGACGCATTTTTTATTTAATGGGAAATTTTATGACCAGACGGATGGTGTTAAGATGGGCTCTTCTTTAGCACCCATACTTGCTAACATTTTCATAGGCTCACATGAACGAAACTGGCTAAACAACTACAACGACACTAAACCACTATTTTACCGCAGATACGTGGACGATACTTTTTGTGTTTTTACTAACGAAACTGGGGTCATGAAGTTTTATAGTTACATTAACACACAGCACACAAACATTAGATTTTCATTTGAAACTGAACAACAAGATCAACTGCCATTTCTTGACATTTTACTTACAAAATCCCATCACAGCTGTACAACATCTACATATCACAAACCAACATACACAGGACTTCTGATGAACTATTTTAGTTTCACACCACTTTCATACAAAACCGGACTTATACGCACACTAATCAACAGAGCATACAAACTTAACAATACGAACAATGGCTTTCAACGAGACATAAAAAACGTCACATCCACTCTTTTACGAAACTCTTACCCACTACACTTTATTAACAGAACCGTAAAACGATATCTCGACAACAAACAAAGCAACAACCTCAAACTAGACACCGAAACTCCTGACACGACGATCACGACTAACACAAATGAAAATTCCAAAATTTCAACTGTATACTTCAAACTACCATACATCGGACATTACTCACGACACACACAGCGCAGGCTTACAAACTATATGAAACATTTTTGTGCAGATATTGACATTCGACTAATTTTCACATCATTCAAAATCAAGAACCTTTTCTCATTCCAAGACCTAATCCCTGATTCAATTAAATCAATGGTGGTATATGAATTCAATTGCGCGGGATGTAATTCCCGATACATTGGCGAAACTTCGCGCCATTTATCCACCAGAATCAGGGAACATACCACAACAGACAAAAACTCTCATATCTACCGACACCTTTAATCTCACTCTCATGTAAAACGAAGTATTCACCCTCTTGCTTCAAAATCATCGACACTGCCGACACCTCATTCACCCTTAAAATCAAGAAGCACTCCACATTAAGAAAACTAACCCTGACCTCAATGTTCAAGTTTTTAAATTCAATACAATATTTAGTTTATAATACGCTCGTACGCTCTTATCTTATTTCCTTAGTATTGTTGTAATTTATGTATCATATTACTTTTATATAAACCTTCTATTATTTATTATTTAACTTATACTGAAGATGTCAACATGAGATGTCGAAACATGTCTATTTTAAAAAAACTCGTCGTGTATATTAAATGCGCATTAGCAATAGTGCTTTTACGTAATTATGGAAAGATTATTATATATACACTCTAAAAACATCCTGGTTAAAAATAACCAGGATGGGGTTAAATCTTAACCAGGAAAGTATTCCAAATGGGATCAACGCAATCCTGGTTATTTTAACAAGGAATCGAGGTTAAATTAATTAACCCTTATTCTGGTTAACTTCAACCACGACCTAATGTTAAAATTTTGACTCTTATCCCAGTTAAAATTAACTAGTTGCCTTGTTAAGTTCCTGGGCAATTTTTAGTGATTCATTGAGAGAGTATATTTATGCTCAAAAAGTATATTTATTTAAGAAAAAAACATTGCACGGACACAACTTACATTTAGTAAAAACGACAAACAGAAGATAGACAAGTATCATGCATATTAACAGGTACATGCAATAGCTAGAGAAGTTTAGATTTATATCAATATATTTTCAACGTCAATGGTCTGATTACTTTAATGCTACTCTCATTGCAACAACAGCAGGTGTAGTCTTCTGTTTTCCCTAGTCCTCGATGCCATACAAAACCTTTTTTATAAACTCCCACGACGAACAGCTCTGCCATGGGTAATTAACGTCAAGTACGTGAAATAGTTTAAAGCAAACATCAATTGCCCTCACAAGATTAGGCTGCTTCCAGCCCTGGCTTTCGATTATAACGAACACTTGCGTTGGGTTGCATCGACTACCAACTGCTAAAACAAACGGCCATCTTGAGGCTGTTTCTAAATATTAAGGTATGTTTGTACCGACCTAAAAATAATTAAACAGTAGACTTGAGAGTTAACATCAAATACACGAGTTTGATTATGCGACTACTTATATGTGTATCTAAGAGTGACAATATATAGCTACTTTTGGAGGAAATGCTCAGAAAAAATAAAGTCCAAAAACTAAGCCAAGTGATTTAGTGATTTCGCTACTTTATTGTTCTTTAGCACAGCTGGTACCGAGATTTTTGAAAATGGTGATTATCTAGCATTTTGCGAAAAAAAACAGTCCGTGCATGTATTGACTTTTGGTTAAATTGTTTTTTTAAAAAAATTGATTTTTGTCACTGTTTCATAGGACTTAAGGAAAACTTTCTCACAGAAAAAAATGCTCATGTTTTTAAAACATTTTACTGCCAACAACACGAGACAATGCTATAAAGTTAATAATGTTTTGCTATATCTTTTTTTGCAATGGCATCAATCCTGCTTTAATACGGTGGGACAACCATATTCATATGCCAATCCAATTTCTTTTCCAAACAATTTCCAATCAAAAGAAATCAACCTGGCATGACAGAAAATATAAATATGGTCCCCTTCAATTAACGATGGATGGACGCCCGTTCTTTTTTGACACAGTTTGTATAATTAGGTACTGTGAATAACTTATGAAAAGATTTTTAATGGATACCGGTTTGCAATCGATAAAAGCACATAATGCTTCATCCATTGTACACCTCTTTTTATTCTTTCCTCCAGTAGGAAAAACGCATGGAAGGAGACTAATCGCAGCATTTCTTTTCTCTTCATTTATAAAGTAGTTTATAAATAAAAGTCAGTGTTTTAGGACTTTAGATGAAGAAAGCATTTCATGTATCGCATATGTTTCATGCATCATGTAACCGTTTTTGCAATTTTTTACCGGAATCAAGTTTTCTTGTTGCTATATTCAAGTATTTTGTCTATTTTTCTGTTTGTGTATCTGCGTAACAAATTATTTTCTCCACTGTTTCTGGTGTAAATCGCAGAAAAAGATTATCCGCGACATCTGGATACAATGTTGCAAAGTCTATTTCAACCTGAATAAATTTTTTAAAAACATTTGGTTAGCCGTACAAGTGCTGTATAACTAAAAAACGTTTAAGAATTTTTTTCTACCATGCCAGAGACATAAAAAAGACGTGGGTATTCTTTCATAACCTCTCGTATTGTAAGTTGGAGCGTTTTTCTAATCCATTCTGATCGATTTAAGACGGTCTTCTGCATATAACTTTTTAGGGTTGAGATTGGCTCCCAGTTGTCTTTCATCCACTGCTTTATTCCATCATGGTCTAATTCACTTAAAACTGGCTCATTTTAAGAAAAAAAAGCAAATTTTCTACAAGCACCATCAAATGAACTGCTAATATCTTTGTAATTGACAAATTTAACCTGGTAGAGATCTTGCCAAGTGTTTTAGAGAACTTCAAGTTGAGCCTAAATTCTTGTTCAGCCTGACGGTGTTGTATGCTCTTTCTCCTAACATTTCTAAGCCGTTCTTCCAACCACCCTGTAGCAGAATGAATCCCTTTTCCTGGCGTGTAGCAAGCGTCCTAAAAATTGAAAAAGCGATCACGTACAAGAAAGAAACAAACATTTTTAAAATACATCATTTGATTCCAAATGAAAAGTTAAACGTAATGAGAAACTTTCATATCCTTGACCCTCTTCATCTTTAAGAAAGGAAACTGCTCTACCACTGCCTTTGCCATTTGGATTTTGATGTCTGTATGAGGCCTGTATTTTAGAATTAATTGCTAAGATCTCATTTTACTATTGCGTTAATTTGTACAACTCTTTGATTTTCGATTTTCACGATTATTTACTATTATGATGACATCATAGGGAGACTTGCATTTTGCAGTAAAAGTGGTGAATTTAGTTATTCACATTTTCACAAACCCTTCTCCAAACTGATTAATTATGTAAGCCACTAGTATCTGAACCATCTTCATTCCGCTTTTTCTGCTTAATTTATTCGTATCCAGTTCGCAAATGACTTGAACACCAACTTCGGACTCCTCTAAAATCGATTTGATATTCTTTAAAAAAAAAGGATAAAAAAGTGTGTTTGATGTTTAATTGCTCTACAAGTGTTAATACTTACAAAATCATTCCTGGGTTTCTTTCTCGGTTGAAAGTTTGAGCCCCACAGCTCTCAAATTAGACTGATTTGCAGCTACTGACCGCTTTGCCTCGTTTACTTATAGCTGACAAGTAAATTCGGGGCTTGAAGATGCCTATATTGGATAAAATGAATAGCATTTATAGGAAAGTTTATATTCTTCAATTTAATTTAGTCTTACTTTACAAAAATTTGACACATTTTGAATTGTAGCAATGTTTCTAGAATTTTGTTAACAAATAGATTTTAATTAATCATTCTCTTAAGATTTTTCTCGATTGTGATAGGTTGATTGCAGTGCAGTTTATTTGTAATTGCACTGTGAATAAGTGTAATTGTACAGTTAAAATGGGTAAATGCACTGTAAAAAGTGTAGTTGCTGTGTAAATTATGACAACGACAAATTTTATGCATAAAATGAATTAAAGCGCAAATTTATCGTTCAAGTTATTAAACTTGCTATGTATTTTAGTCATATGTTACTTCGTTTGCTTACTCGTGTTTCGCAATCGAAGGTATACAGCATTTATACATTGGATTGTATGGTGTATAGTGACAGTACAATGGGCGCTGATGGCGCACGATGGATGTCAAATTTTATGCAAAGACCTCAAGATAATATTCAAATGCTTGCTACTCACGACAACATATGCCAATGAGACCTGTTAATTAAGTGCAAAACTGGCAATGTTTAGAAATTGTTCAGCTTATGACCGAAGTTTCTGGGTGAATTGGATGAAAGGAAAAGCGAATAAATTTCTTTTAATTTCTCACTTTGTACGTAAGGCAAATATTATTTCCGCATTTCCATATATATAGCTGCATTTCAATGTTAACGATTCGTTGATATCATTTATGACAAATACAGCGGTAGTTGCTTCGCAAAATGCAGTGTTTTTCACATTAAAAAGCTTGTTCTGTCGTTTATAGCTAAAGCAAAGTTTTGACGAAGTGACAACGCCGACAACGACCACAAACTTCCTCGTGCCATTCCCTTACACGGTCAAGCTTCGTACACGTAGTCGTAGTCGTCGTACTCTTGCTAGAGCTCTCTAATTTCTCTAATATCTCATAGAATGCATGCAGATATGTCAGGAAATTAAATTCTGTTTCAATGAGTAGTTGTAACGCCTTGAGAAAACCTTGCTCCCTGTTCCAAATAGTGGAAGTCCAAGTCATTCAGCAGTAATTTAATGTTAATTGGAAAGTAAAGCAGCTCTTCTTCCACACAGTCCATAGACAGATCAAGATTTCAGGTTTTTTAGAGCAGAACATTAGTGGAAGAAATCGTTTAGTCATCTGAGATACTGATTAGACAACTGGTGCTTTATTTTGTTCATTGATTTTAAATTTGTTGGTTGTCATCAGTCATATACCTTCACTGATGTTATTTCGGGAATTTTGGGGTACGATTTTTTAAAGTTTTTGGCGTAATGTTATCGGGCAAAGAAAAAAATATATTGAGTTGGTTTGAGTTCAAATCGTGTTTGTTAACCCTTCAAATTATGTTACTCAAAGCAATTCGTATCTCGTAAAAAGTGGTAAAAACACCTAAAGCCAATGATATCTCGTGTTTCTTTGTACGTACAAACCTATCAACACTTTGAAAATCGGCATTGAAACAACAATATGTGAATGAAACTATAAAAAACTGCTTATAGATATTTGTGCTCTCTTTGAAATTACGGTTGCTATGGCGTTGCTAGGTAGGATTCAACTGTCCAAATTCAGAACTAAGCATTGGTATACTTGAAATTTGATTTTCTTCAATAGTTTGATTTGCAGTCCAATAAGAATCTTCATCTCCTTCAAGGTGTCTTCGTTTACAATGAGAAATGCCTTCGTATTTTTTTAAAAAAATGCAATTCGATAAATACCCGTTTCGTGAACAAAAAGCTCAGAAACAAAATAATACAGCTAAAGCTAAGAAGTAAATAATATAGACACTGCATTTATTTACCTTCAAAAACATCTTGTAAGGAGGAAAGATTCCATTCTTCAAGTTTTTGATCTAAATCTTTATTGGATGAAAATATGACTTTTTTACTAAAACTGTATTACCTAAGTTCAAAGTGTCGAGCGGTTCTCGTACTTCTTTCCTCATTTCATGAAAGCTTAACAAAGCAGTTGCTCTCAGTCTCAGATGACAGGGTTTTCTTCATTATTTATCTCAGGTGGCCGGGTTGTTTTGTTGCTATGATCAAACGATCAAAAGAAACATACGTATTCTCAACTAATTATTTAAGATCAATGGTGTTTGTCCAGACTAGTGCTTCGCTTTTATCACTCGGAGGTTGTCATGAGCTGTATGCAATATACTAGTTGTTTTCCCCACTCCTTAAACTATTGACAGCATTTAACTATCGTTTTCCAACAATTGGAATCTCAAATTTTCTAAATATGTTTATCGACACTCAAAAAAGTTTTTTTTATTTTTTGTTTTTGTAAAAGCATTAATGGCGCAAATTATAAACAAATTTTGACATTTCGTCCCGAAAATTAGTGAGCCGCCATTTTGATTTTTTCTTAACCTGGATCTTGGTAGTTCAGTTTTGACCAAAAAATTAACCAGGATGTTTTTAGTGCGTATAAATATTACAATGAAGTAGTGGTTAGAGCTAATGATGAAAGTATTTATAGGCTGAATATAGTGCTAAAACGAAAAACTTGAACGTTGAGATTAGGGTTAGTTTTGCATGAAGGTGATTTTAAAAGGTGTCGAAAGATATGTGAGTTTTTGTCAGTTGTGGTGTGTTCCCTGATTCTGGTGGATAAGTGACGGGAAGTTTCGCCAATGTATCGGGAATTACATCCTGCACAATCGAATTAGTATACCACCATAGATTTAATAGAATCAGGGATAGGGTCTTTGAACGAAAAGCAGTTTTTCGGATGTTAATGTGAGTGCAGATGTTTGTAAGTCTGCGTTGTGTGTCGTGAATGATGTCTGATGTACGGTATATATATGGTAACAATTAAATAACACGATTTTACCATTTGGATATACAAAACTCACTGGATTGTACTGTTTAAAGTTATGCATCTGCAGCGAGTCATCATCAACATCCATGTAGGCACAACTTTATGACCATTTTACATTTGACTGTAGACACCAGGGGAAGGTCGCTAATATTTTTTTTTGCAGAGCGAACTATTTAGCGGAAACAGGTCCTTTGTTGGTTTTGGCGGCGCAGCTTCGCATCCATTTTTTTGGCGTCATCGCCCCAGTCTACTCACCCATCAGGCTATTTTAGAACTTAATGATATCTATGTAAACTTCCTATTCAGTTCGCATTAAAGGTGGAATAAAATATGCCAAAATATGTTTGCTTCATTAAAAATCTATTTAAAATGTCTGGTTTTAAATAGGTTTCAATGTCTTTGTATTGTATGTTTACAAGGAAAGCACACCAGATGAAATTGAAAATGTGGAAAGCCTGGATAAAAATGATGACATTGAGGAAATGGAAGATGACGAAAAAAATGTAAATAAGCTGAAGTTTTACTCGTTTTGATGTGTCGTTTAAGCAGGATTTTCCGTGACATGCTTATGTTTTGAACAGAACCAGTCGGACATGACAGTTGTGTTGTCTAAACAAACCTCGATTGATCATCTTGATTCAAAGATGAGAAATACTATCGAAATTAATGAATTCAATCAGCAGATTAACAAGTCTCAAAAAAAGGTAAGAGCATAAATTTTTTTTTAGGAAATTCAATTCTGGATAAACCTGGATAGGAAACTTTACTGACCTCTTTGATGCGTGCAACGTCGTGCACATTCTCAAAAATTAGGGGCAAGTTAGTTGGCAGGCACAATGATACTCCGATGTTTTAATGGTAAAAGTTGTCGTAAAAGTCATAAAACTTCATCCAATTCTTTCTCACTTTTAAAACATACTAAATAGTGTATACGATTTGACTACGATTTCGAAAAAGTGTTTAGTGCGTGCATTTTTCATTTAAATCAAAGTATATTTGGCTTCAGAAGAATCGTGTGTGTTTCTTTCGCCAGAATGCCAGACCTCCAACCCGATTTTAGTTTTCCAATCAATAGCATTCTTTGGCAACAGTACATTACTGTATGTTGTTGAATTATTGAAGTTTCTTTCTTTTTATTTAAAATAAATGTTACATATTTTGATATTGAAGTCGGTATATCACTATTACATGTGATTGAGGATGTTGCGTGGGTCTGAAAGCTTTTTATCAAACGAGGGTGACATATTGATCTTGTCGTTTATCTGAGAACTTAATAGCCCATAAGCTGTCTTAAATCCAAACTCCCATTTTGCCGAAACCCCCTCAAATATGAGCGTTAAATGCAGTATGATTATTCACCGCCAAAACTTCATGGTTTAACCAATCATACAATCCCAAATGCTATGTAGGACACTATTTCCAAAAAATGATCGACAAGTTCCAGGCAAACCTCCACAAACCATCTGCAATGAAAATTGTCCAAAGTTAGGCTACGGCTTACAATTATATCCTTCATCATCAATTCTCATAAAGACGCATGCCTAAAAAATATAATTTTTGGGAAGCTTATGCAGCTGAAATTTGGCAATTTCAATCAGCCAATTATATTGACAGTTTATTTGACTTTTTATGTATGAGTAGTATGTGGCTCTCCTCACGAAAAAATCCAAGCACGAGTGAATATATAAGGTGAAGAGTAATCGAAGGATTAACTGTAATTACCGTACTTTTAAGGTTATAACATTGCCATTTTTGCTGTTCTTGGATGGGTAGCAAATGTGTGCGAGAAATACGGGTGGCATGCATTTTTATTACGTTTCACCTGCCCTTGAAGCAGTAGATATATTGTTCCTCTTTTTCTGGATGAAATAATATTTCTCATGCTGATGTTGCATTTTGGTCTTTTCTATCTGCTGATGTCTTGTATTGGTTCTGTTATGTGCAAGGGGTTGCTAAAATAAAAGAGCCTTGACGATTTATCGCGGGAAATCACCAAAGAAAAAAATTGAGCACAACGCGTCTCAGGTTAATAGCAATCTCTGCATAACTTGTGTAGAAAATTGTGTGAAGTTTGCCAGTTTTACTGGATGTAGTCAAAAAGTATGACGACTTAGAAACAAGAAAGAACAAAAAAGCCAAGAATGATTGTGCCAGAAATCAACAGATTGTTGGAGTCCCCTTCGTGCTGAATGGAATGCTCGATTAGTAGTTGACGAGTTTGGTCTCAGCTGTGTTCTCGCCTGACAAAAAGAGGTTGTGAAGCAAGAAGACATATTTCTGGATAAGTAAGAAACATAAGGTTGAAAGAAGATCAGATTGAAATAAGAAAAATGTGACGCATCTAGGTCTCTTATGTCTATCCAAGCACAAGACTTTACAAGAGCGGACAACGACTAAAATATCACATCGGATAGTGCAGCGCCGCGCTTTATTAGTGGAAGTAGCTAAAATAGAATTCTAAGTACAAGAAAACATTTTGTAATCATTGTAAGTCGGCTAATGCTGTTTCACTTTGTTAAATGTTATCATCACTGGACAATCCACCGAGGAAAGAACGCCATTTGGTATGACAAATCGTCATATTTCCTACGCTGTCAAAATAGATGATATGTCTGGCGTCTCAATTAAAACGCAAGAGGTTTCATTTCAAAGTAAAAGGTTTCTTGGCCCCCTAAAAATCCGTACCTAAATGGGCTTGGGAGAGTATAGGGAAAGAATACCTTCCTAAACAACTCGAAATATGCTTTTGTGCTGTAAGAAATTAATCAAAATCCACAGATATCGTTATTAGAGTCGTTGAGGCATGTTTATAATATTGTGCTACAACAATAGAAAGCATTATTTCTCAAGTTGTAGTGTTTTTATGTCATTTCGTTGCAGTTCTTGCAATTAAGTCATTTCTTCATCTATACTGCATTTAATGGCAGTAAGACTTATATTAAATAATTGAAATGGTTTAGATATCTAGTAGATTGGGTTCTAAGTCAATTGCTGCGTGCAATTGAAAAGTAGGGCAAAAATCGTTTTGACGATGAGTATGAAAAATAGCACGTGGTCATGAGTTTCCTATCCATTATTTTATCATTCACCGTAAATTATTACGTGAGTGGTGAGTTTCAACGAATCTTTGTTTTAGCTATTTAATTGCTCGATTGTCGTTTTTTGTGGTTTTTTTAGGAGATGAAGAGAATTAAAAGGAATAAAAGAAAATCGAAAGGTTATTAATGCTATTATGATATCTTTATACTTAGGGGCTTATTACATGAGCCCGGTAGCCGGGATTTAGCCAAGCGTTAAATGATTTTGGCAATTGGAAACGATTCAGTACTTATCATCAGATAAATCTTCTCAAGCAATTTTACAATATTCTGATTTAATAACTTCTCGAAACGTTTAAAATTGAAAGAACCAATTTGCCATAATTTGAGAATTACAACCGGAGTGACGCGTAGTGCTTTGCAAACAGTTGTAATTTTTAACCTTGAAGTTTTGGCTCCATTCAATCCCTTGAAATCATTGGGCTAGCTTGCCTCCATATAATCAAACCCTGAGTGTATAACGTTGGATGTTGCCTCTTAATTTAGTCAACCTATGTTACAAATAGTGTGCATAAAATTTTTATGGCATTGCTACATGACTATATCTTATAGATTTGATGACATATGACTTTGTTTATCTCTAATGGATTCAACAGTTAAAAGTCTAGCTAGAATTAAATGTACAATTTTTAAAGAATGTGTGTCGATCAAGATCCACCGCGCAATTTTGTTTCAGTTTACATCGTTACTTTTTGAGCTTGCGATACACTAAATTCAATTTCGTCACAACGTCGTCTAAATTATCTGAAAAGTTAGCTAGAAAAACATTGATTAAAAATCTATTTTACATTAATTTTTATTGTTGTCATTATTTACAGTCTATGCAACATAGACAGCAATAACAAAATCCGCCATTTTCTTTACCTAAAAAATGGCCGTCACGCTGTGATTAACGAGCAATGCATCGTGGTTGACACGCATTCCTTAATGAAAAGCTTTAAATGCTCAGCGATATTGCACTTCTGAAACCATAAAAAATCCTGTAAAATAAGTATGCTTTCATTGATCCAATGAATTTCCAGCTAAAGCCATGGTAAAAATGGAAGAGCGTATGGTCGACAGCAGCAATGAAGATTATGATTTCGAAACAGACTTAACGGGAGAAACTTAAAGATATTTCAAGATTTGAGGTAACATTTTCATTTGTAAATAATCGGAGATTGAAGTCATGGGTTATCGTTGTGGACAGGTATCATTCGCTGCTTGCATTAGAAATATGGCTTGACTGAGCGTACGTAGAACATTGGTGTTTTAACAATATTTTAAACAGTCGGATATTCTTGTCTCAATATCACTCAAATAATCAAATTGAATTACAATTGAATGGAGTAGAAATTAAATTCAACGAAGCATCAAAGTTTTTACAAGGTGTGAGTTTTTGGCACTCTTATCAATGCTAATCGTAAATTTAACTATAATGTGAAGCTCATCTTTGCATTTGAAGCCCTTATATAGGGTGTACCAAAAAAACGGAACCCGTACGAATAATTATTTGAACATTAATTAAAATCTACATAAATTAATTAGACTACAATTGCTATTTGTTCCGCCTGGTTTGATTTAGTTACACGCTAGTTTGTCCATGTTGTTGTGCGTTATGGAAAATATGATTACGTTTTTTGTTACTGTTATAACTCAGTTAATGTTGCTTTGATTTACAAAACTTTTGCGTGATAAATTTGAGACGAACATTAGTGTATGACATTACTTTTGACTTGTTTTTGCTTTTACTATTACAAACCATAGAACTGTCAAGTTCATTAAACTGTGCTTAATGGCAATTACATTATTGTGCGTAATAGTTTCAGTGAAACATAATTAATTTATGTGGGTTACGTTTTTTGGGCGGATATTTTTACAATCGAAGTATAAGAGAAATAACATCAAATTCTGGGCCACAGAATAAGGAATATACCGAATGGTCACTTCACTGTACAACTTGATGTTGTATATTTAGGTAGTTTATTGGCTGCTGTTAGCCAATTCATCATTCGTATTTGTCCAAAAAAGCAATTGACTGGTTGCCATGAAAGGTTAATGATATGCGTAATAAGATATGCGTGGCACAAAATATTTCAATGGAGTTACCTTTCTTTGTATTTTTATTCTATGTCAGGGCCTTAAAAAAGCAAAAAAGGATTTGCAGAATTCCAAGTTCTAGATTCTAGTTTCTTTAACTTAAATGGATGTGTAAATAAAAATATATAGAATGTAGAGATCAGAGCAGTATGCAAACAATGACAGCACATGTATTAGTGACACTTTTGAAACATTGTTGATTCTATTGAACCTATTTACAAATCTACAGGATGTATCCGGGTGTATTTACAACTCTACAGGGTGTGATGACATAAATTTCACCATCCATACTCATATGAGGCTGATTTCAATTAAATGCAAAATTTCGGGCGATCGACCCTATGGGCCCAAATCGTTCCTTTACTCTCACTTTCGCCGGTCAACAAATATGGCCGATCAACAAATACATTGAGTTCTGTAATAACTGGAGCGGCTATCTCAATCACGGCTTAATCATTGAAGTAAATATAACTGGAAGGCAACCTTCTCCCGAAAATTTGAAGCGAAATTCTGCTGTATCGTTACCAGTCTTTCCACTCATGTAACAAACACGACCGAAACAAAATATTTCGGTTGTTTGGTGATTTTGACAGCGGATTTTGAAAAAAACTACGAAAAAAACTGGAAATCAATTGCAAAAATATGAATTTGTCCAGCTCATTCATAGCCAGATTTCTACAGTAATAAATTAATCAAGCAATCGTTTCTTTTTGAGAAAAACGAACTTACCAAACCGCGACAAATGCGATTTGGAAATTTTGCAAAGCTGCATGGTGTGCAAACATTTTGCAATTGTTTTAAACATTTCTCAAAAAACGTTAAACCAGTAATATTGACTTAAAAACACAATCGAAGTAAACAAAACTATATTTTAAAGTAATATTTACGAAGAAAAACATAGCTTGTTCTCACCCCAGTCCTTTTTTAACTTAGAGCGCATGTTTTCCTTAATTTTGCAAACAAAAATTATTTTTCACTGCATAATTGTCGTCTTTAGAACAAAGAAAAGTTTTTAGGATTGTTCAGTAAACATGCCAAACACATGTGTGATAATTGGGTGCAGGAACAGGGCTATTTCTCACCACCTATAGCTAGGTGCGAAAACTGTTGCATTTCACTGGTAAAAATTACGATACATAAATTGAAAAATGACATCAAACAAAACAGCAATTTTAAAGCTTTAATATGCTTTAACTACAAAAATAAAATTTTAAAAAAACTCGATACAATACTAATATACATAAATTCTTTATTTTGACGACGTGGTCGTATGCAGTATTTGTTTGTTTTTCTGGTCACAATTGCAATAAAATAATACTTTTTCACAGTAAAATTGTAAAGTAGGTGCAACTGGGTTCATACTGGTTTTACAAGGCTTACAACTTTACTTAACTGGACAAGTATTACTTATAGTCATAATATTGGAAGTGTAATATTTAAAATACTAGATCATGAATATGTATATATATTACAGATTTCCCATGAGAAATAAGGCAGTCCTACAATTATGGGGGCATTTTGTTCAACAAGCATCTTGAAGTACCATGAACAGCAGCAACAAGTGTGCATCGTATATGCAGTGACCAATTTCCCACAAACTGACTTCATTAAACCCCCCCCCCTCCACAAAATTGCAAATGCTGACTTAAAAATTATGCCATACCATCTATTTCCCATAACTTTCATGTTCAGAATGTCGTAACTTCTACAACCCATTCAAATGCACAGCTGAATAGACTAGCTTTCAAATAAAAGACCTTTTGCAGCTACCTCTTCAGCCTTTATAATTAGTCGTATTGGATTTCTAAAATAAGATTTACAAATGCCTCAAGCCTTTGTATTTTTAACACGTATGTTTACCATTCGAAAGGTAAATTAGATTAAATGTAGATTAAATGATTAATGTAAAAAGTTGAAACCATGGACGAAGTTGTCAAGATTTTAGAAGATAAATTGGTGATCAATTCAAAAGAGGCAGAAAGTCTTTTGTCCATTTCAATGATACACAACCTTGTATAACTGTAGAGATAACTAAAATGCTCTTATTCAGGCAGAAGATACTCTGATGAAATCAAAGAATTTGCACTTACATTTTATTTCTACTCGCCAAAAGCTTATAAATATGTTCGATCCATTGTTCCACTACCCAATCCATCTTGGATGAAAAAATTGTCTGCGTCCATGAAATGTGATCCTGGTTATCTAATGAAGTTGTTGCTTCCTCAAAGAGCAGAGACTGTGGTTTGGTTATTGATGCAATGTCAAAACTAAAACAAACAATATGGATCCTTAGGTTGATCAGTATTCAGGGTTTGTTAATATTAGAGGTGCACTTCCTAATCATCAAACAAACAGATTGGCCTCTGAAACACTAGTATTTTAATTAGTTGGCACCAGAAGTCATTGGAAAAGTCCCATTAGGTACTTCTTGGTTAAAAAAATCAATGCTAAAGACGAAGCATCATTGGTAATAGAATGTCTTGAAAAGACATCAAAGGCAGATTTAAAGGTATGGTCCGTAATAGCTGATAGTACTGCAGTAACTCTTCACACATTTGAAACTCTTGGTTGCAACTTTAACGGTACCTATGATGAAATGCAGTCTTCATTTATCCATCCAACAACTGGTGAAGATGTGTTTGTAATCCTTGACCCCTGTCATATGTTAAAGCTTGCACGCAATGCACTGGCCCAACTTGGTTCTTTTAGGGATGGCCAGGGGAACATTATAAAGTGGAGTTACATAGAAAAACTTAAAAGCCTACAAATAGAGGAAGGATTAAACTTAACAAACAAGCTTACGAGTAATTGTTAAATTATTCGTGATTCAGCAACAACATTCGGATTGTACGTGAAATATTTATGATTTTATTGTAGAACAAATAACAAGTTAAGTATCAGCGATCAACGATATTACAATAACAATTTCGAATATCACTTAATCTGACATGTGTCATATCTACTTAATTATGTATGCAATGCTATGTTGTTTATGTCTTTTCGTTTGATGTTCATATCTTAACAGTAATCACCTTAACTTGCACAAACATAAATTAAATGTGCGACTGCCGCACAAACATTAAGCTCCTCAGTGGCAAATGCTATATTGACTTTTTGAACAAATCTGCTAAACAGTAATGGGACATTGACATTCGTATTATCGACAAACTTTTTGACTTCCTTAACTCCGGGAATCTACTGGCTAAAGGTTTTAAGGCACCTCTTCAGCTTTCAAGTCAGGACACATGGCAAGAACTATTATCATCATCAGCAGAATATCTATTAAATGTAGATATGATCTTCGCACTTTGTTGGACAATTCAAGCAATTGTCTCATGAACCTGAAAAATTCAGGTAACTCAACGGGATTCGAACCTCTGCGGTGCCGGTGCAGTGCTCTGACCAACTGAGCTATGAAGTCACACAGTGGTAAGCAGGTCAATTTTGTTGAGTTGATGAGACAATTGCTTAAATTGTCCAACAAAGTGCGAAGATCATATCTACATTTAATTTCAAACACCGCACTGCATAAAAACATTCTTTCGTATGACATTCCTTTGTCATTAAAAATCAACACACCTTTCTCTCAACTAATTTGTTCATCTCAGCGCAAAACATTTATATTTGGGTTTGTTACCTGCATCAATTCCACTGTTTCAATGGCAACACAGATGCTCTCTTCATCCATTAACCTATTCAAGTATCTCTTGACGTACAAAAATTCACAAGACCATAATGAATTCTTGTTTTCCTTCATTCGCTCAAGAGGTGGATGGAACAACCACCTTTTACAATCTCCAAATGTATGCCCTTCGAAATATGTTGATGAGAAATGCTATTACTGCATCAAAAAATGCACACTGTTTGTACTTTACTGGCCTTAACAACCTGTTACCACTTTTTCATACCACGAAACATTCACCCACATTACATAATCAGTAACAAGAAACTGCTGCCCAAGACACTGACGATAAACTTCATGCCATGGTGCGACATCTCCACGAAGGCAACAGCGAATTTATTTCGAACGTTATATTTTACATCGCAGGATACATAGTTTTGAAGTTAATCAACAATTTATTTTCCCCAGAATGCAAACGATACCTTTGTCCCTTACCAAAGTCTTTATCCGTAGATGACCATGATTATACTGCTACAAAATATCATGAAGGTGGCAAAGCTTCAGCTTTCGTCAACTTCGTTAACAAATGTGGTTTGCAGATTCCATCTTCAGGACGATCACAGCACCCAACTCAAAAAGCATATTGCTGACTAATATTTCACTTTGCGTCTTTTTAACTACGGTGAAAATTATACAAGGGAGATCGTAAATAAAGGAAAAACAAGTAACAGGCAGGGGCGGATCTAGAGTATGTCAAATCCGTCGCGCGACTGATGTTTGAAATTCAAAAATTACCCATTCATATTAATTAAAAAAATCATTAATTATTCTTACTTTATTATCGCATTTACTTCGTGATAAAAATCCAGCTTTATTTATTATTGAAAACTAATGACTAATCCAATGAATATCTCGTTGGTAACCAGATCAGTTGAATTTTAATTGACCTGGAATAACCGACTGATAAGCGGGGTGGCTCAGGGGCGGATCTAGGATTTTTCAAACATCAGTCATAAAACGTCGGAGGCGCTCCGCACCTGGGGGGGTCTGAGGCTATCTCTCCTGAGAAATTTTGAATTTCAGAGCCTTAAAAATGCCATTTTCAGCGTTTTAGAGCATTACAAAATGTATTTTGTGGGCATCGTTTTTGCATAAATACAACACATTTTGCTTACGTTTTTTTCAAAAAAAAAAAATGAAGTGAACAATACTTGAATGTTTTGCCAAATATTTAGGCTCATTATTATGCCAAATATATGGCTCATTAGCATGTCTAGCAACGTAAAATTTATTTTACAATAATGCTATATTCAAAACAGATATAGCCTTTAAAATTTCTACCAAGTTGTCAGGCATAGATCCCTAGAGACCCCATTTAAACCTCTATGTAATGAGTTAAGTTAGAAATTTGGTACTACAAGTGACAGTTCATAGATATAGAAAGCTCAGACTTCAAACCATGCAAGTTTATTGTAACCTTTACCCATCTCCACATCAGTATTAGCAAATTCACCTTTTGAGAAAAACTCAAAATTTTTTCTGCCAAAGATTAAGCAAAAGTATCAGAGTGAAAATTTGCAGTTAAGGACAGCTTAATGCCATAAATGTTTATTAGGCATTTCACTTGACTATTATCTTCTTCAAGGTGTGCTATATAGCAATCACTAGTAGCATTGTATTATCAAATACAAACAGAATGTAACCAACATGTCTTTAATTATATAATTACATGAATGTTAAAATTGGTTCATGTGTCATGCTTACTGGTTATGATAAATATCTTTTCATATGGTCAAAGCTCGTTTAAATGTAAATCTGAAATAATTTAGTTTAGAAATTATAATGATCATCAGAAAAATTACCTAGTGATCATGAAAAATACTTTGCTGTTTTGCCAAATTTCAAGGTTTATCTGCATACATAGAAAGACATTTTTACTGTATAGAAAATGCTTTTCATACATCAATAGCCCTTTGGAATTTATGGCAAACAATCTGGTATGAGCCGTAGATTAACACAACTTTACATCTCTACATGAGGTGTTCAGTTAGAAAAGGGGACAATATGTGACATGGGACAACATTTCATGTATCTGAAATACTAAGGTTTAATACCATTCCAGTCAAATTGTCAAAATAAAAAGCTTCATGGATCAGAAGACTCAAAATCACAGGTTATAGTAAACAGCTTCTCATGTAATCAATGTTAGTTTTCTCAAATCTTAAACAATATGTAGTATAACTGTCTAATGGTTGAATGATCAATGATCATAAACTGAAAAGCCCCAAACATTTGTTTATGATAAAGTAAATAATAGAATAATAGTATGGCGCCTTATGGCTACAGATTTTTTGTCCATTGAAATATATTTGCAGGAATGTAGGATTTCGCTGCCATATAACGGTCACGATTCCCCAAGCACTAAAGAAATCATAGCTAAAAGTCCTTCGGCAACAACAATTTTAGAAGCATCTATCTGCTTACCATACGCCATATTAACATAAATCGCATCACACACTCGCATAAATTGACTTTGATATATTACATTCATGCATACACTTCAGTTGTCCTTTACTTACGATTTTGGATGTTAATTTTTGCTGATAAAACTCAAAACAATGTTGGCTTGCTTTTGAACATCAATGACTGAAATGTCGCTCGCGAGATCGTCTTTGCCAAGCATTTACAATTCATCCATAAATTTTTCGCCCTCTTGAAAATATTCCCAGTTTGGAAAGCAGCATTCATGTCAATATATGAATTTGTAAAAGATTTCCATAAATTCCATCTGATTGTAGTTTAGTTTCTATCATGCTTTAGAAAATTATTATGAAACGATCAAACATTCAATTCAGACAGTGAGCTTGACTATGTTAGTTCAGTTGGCGATCAGTCGAAATCCGTCAAACCAATCACAATAAAGCAAAAATTCAAATGAACCAATTACACGATAGCAAGTGGACTCCCTTATACGTCCGGCCACCCTTATTATCAGTCGAGATTATTCCAGATCGTCCACTGATCTGGCTATTGACCAATAAAATAAGCGTTTTTGACGTTCATAGACTCCTTTATCCGTCGAACCAGTCAAGCCACCCCGCTTATCAGTCGGTTATTCCAGGTCAATTAAAATTCAACTGATCTGGTTACCAACGAGATATTCATTGGATTAGTCATTAGTTTTCAATAATAAATAATGCGGGATTTTTATCACGAAGTAAATGCGATAAGAAAATAAGAATAATTAATGATTTTTAATTAATATGAATAGGTAATTTTTGAATTTCAAACATCAGTCGCGCGACGGATTTGACATACTCTAGATCCGCCCCTGGGGTGGCTTGACTGGTTCGACGGATAAAGGAGTCTATGAACGCCATAAACGCTTATCTTATTGGTCAATGGCCAGATCAGTGGACAGTCTGGAATGGTCTCGACTGATAATAGGGTGGCCGGACGTATAAGGGAGTCCAATTGCTATCTTACAATTGGTTCATTTGAATTTTTGTTTTATTGTGATTGGTTTGACGGATTTCGACTGATAGCCAACTGAACTAACATAGTCAAGCTCACTGTCTGAATTGAATGTTTGATCGTTTCATAGTAATTTTTATAAGCATGATAGAAACTAAACTACAATCAAATGGAATTTATGGAAATCTTTTACAAATTCATAATTTGACATGAATGCTGCTGTCCAAACTGTGAATTTTTTCAAGAGGGCGAAAAATTTATGGATGAATTGTAAATGCTTGACAAAGACGATCTCGCGAGCGACATTTCAGTCATTGATGTTCAAAAGCAAGCCAACGTTGTTTTGAGTTTTATCAGCAGAAATTTACATCCAAAATCGTAAGTAAAGGACAAGTGAAGTGTATGCATGAATGTAATATATCACAGTCAATTTATGCGAGTGTGTGATGCGATTTATGTCAATATGGCGTATGGTAAGCAGATTGATGCTTCTAAAATTGTTGTTGCCGAAGGACTTTTAGCTATGATTTCTTTAGTGCTTGGGGAATAGTGACCGTTATATGGCAGCGAAATCCTACATTCCTGCAAATATATTTCAACGGACGAAAAATCTGTAGCCATAAGGCGCCATACTTTAGTATTTATCATTTTTATCATAAACATGATACTACATGTTTAATCTAGCTCATACACCCATAGAATTATAAGGGCTGTGATGTATGAAAAGCATTTTCTATAAAGTAAAATGTCTTCCTATGTATGCAGATAAACCTTGAAATTTGGCAAAACAGCAAAGTATTTTTCATGATCACTAGGTAATTTTTCTGATGATCATTATAATTTCTAAACTAAATTATTTCAGATTTACATTTAAACGAGCTTTGATCATATGAAAAGATATTTATCATAACCAGTAAGCATGACACATGAACCAATTTTAACATTCATGTAATTATATAATTAAAGACATGCTGGTTACATTCTGTTTGTATTTGATAGTACAATGCTACTAGTGATTGCTATATAGCACACCTTGCAGAAGATAATAGTCAAGTGAAATGCCTAATAAACATTTATGGCATTAAGCTGTCCTTAACTGCAAATTTTCACTCTGATAATTTTTGCTTAATCTTTGGCAGAAAAAAATTTTGAGTTTTTTCTCAAAAGGTGAATTTGCTGGCACTGATGTGGAGATGGGTAAAGGGTTACAATAAACTTGCATGGTTTGAAGTCTGATTTTTTCTATATCTATGAACTGTCACTTGTAGTACCAAATTTCTAACTTAACTCATTACATAGAGGTTTGAATGGGGGTCTCTAGGGGGTTCTATGCCTGACAACTTGGTAGAAATTTTTAAAGACTATATCTGTTTTTGAATAGCATTATTGTAAAATAAATTTTACGTTCCTAGACATGCTAATGAGCCATATATTTGGCATGATAATCAGTAGTATTGTTCAAGTATTGTTCACTTCATTTTTTTTTTGAAAAAAACGTAAGCAAAATGTGTTGTTTTTACGCAAAAACGATGCCCACAAAATACATTTTGTATTGCTCTAAAACGCTGAAAATGGCATTTTCAAGGCTCTGAAATTCAAAATTTCTCAGGGGAGAATGCTTCAGACACTTTAATTATAAAAACGGTTCTTCTAAGAACCCTCAAACGCAGCAAAAGGTTTCTTTTTTCGTTTCCCGAAAACAAGCGCATGCGAGATATTTGGATTGAAAAATACGACGCAAAAATTGGAAGCCAACAAAGAGCTCAAAATTGTGCTCGCAACATTTCGAGAGTTCGTGCTTCGTGCAAAATTTTGAAGCGATGCAATCAGTTGGATGGACAGCAGGACGGCTTCGCCTTAAGAAGGATGCTGTATCCACGATTTTTTAATACTCTGTGGAACCCACAAGTGTAGCATCTAAAAGGAAGCAGCCAACAAATGTTAGAACTGCATTTGAGAAGAGACGAAGGCAAGAGGTGATTATTATAGTTATAGTTAGCAATATTTGTTTACATTTATAAAAACTAAGCTATATAGCATTGCCAAATTAAGGACAATTTTATAATTTTAGATTATTGACGACGTTCTTGCAGAACATGACGACTTTCTTGTATGCGACGACCACGATGTGTCGACATCGGCTCGAAATGTTTGTGCGTTTTACCTCAAAGGAAGTTTGTCTAAGATAAAGATGTCAAGATAT